ACTTGTTGAAATTTGTAGCAATTTATAAGTTGAAGTTAAGCCGAGATAATTGTTTATCTTCACTTGTTGAAATTTGTAGCAATTTATAAGTTGAAGTTAAGCCGAGATAATTGTTTATCTTCACTTGTTGAAATTTGTAGCAATTTATAAGTTGAAGTTAAGCCGAGATAATTGTTTATCTTCACTTGTTGAAATTTGTAGCAATTTATAAGTTGAAGTTAAGCCGAGATAATTGTTTATCTTCACTTGTTGAAATTTGTAGCAATTTATAAGTTGAAGTTAAGCCGAGATAATTGTTTATCTTCACTTGTTGAAATTTGTAGCAATTTATAAGTTGAAGTTAAGCCGAGATAATTGTTTATCTTCACTTGTTGAAATTTGTAGCAATTTATAAGTTGAAGTTAAGCCGAGATAATTGTTTATCTTCACTTGTTGAAATTTGTAGCAATTTATAAGTTGAAGTTAAGCCGAGATAATTGTTTATCTTCACTTGTTGAAATTTGTAGCAATTTATAAGTTGAAGTTAAGCCGAGATAATTGTTTATCTTCACTTGTTGAAATTTGTAGCAATTTATAAGTTGAAGTTAAGCCGAGATAATTGTTTATCTTCACTTGTTGAAATTTGTAGCAATTTATAAGTTGAAGTTAAGCCGAGATAATTGTTTATCTTCACTTGTTAAAATTTGTAGCAATTTACAAGTTAAAGTTAAACCAAGATAATGCTTAACGCTTGTTGAAATTTGTAACAATTTACAAGTTGAAGTTAAGCCGAAATAATTGACTATCTTCACTTGTTGAAATTTGTAGCAATTTACAAGTTGAAGATAAACCAAAAACAAGAAAATTACCAAGGTATATCATCAGATTGGCATAACCGAGGTATGTTACCCCGAGAAAATTATACAAAGAAGAATGAGTACATATATGTAGAATATTCTAAGTATAGAATCATATGAAGACAAAAAAGACAAGACAGAAGTACAAGCATTCAATAAAGGAGAAACCTTGTATTAACATTCAAAGAAAAAAGGGGGGACACATCGGCCATACAAAGAACATACATCCTTCCCTAAAATAAAGAAATAAGAAAATACAAATAAAAAGAAGACTTAAAACTAAGACTCCTCTCTGCCAGATTGTTGAGAATGAAGATCGGATACCACCTCGGCCTCCTTCTCTGTCGCTATCTCGGCGTCAATTTCCTGAAGAGTTTCTTCAACTGTCTTGACCTCAGAAGGGACGTCGGCTGGTACAATCTCAGGAACAGCTTTTATGGGAACCAAATCACCTTCATCGTCCTGAGTCAAGTCTAGGACTTGCTCATTCTGAGGAGGGGACTTAGTCTCATCAGCGTCTTTGGATTTTCTAATCAAAGCCTCGTCCTCTTCCTCCTCGGCCTCATCCTCAGCATCAGATTCGCCGACGTATTCACTTGGAGTTGGGGCTGGAGGAAATGGCAAGGGAATGACGTCAACCTTGCGCAAAGGAGAGTCATCAGGAATATTAAGCTTTTTAAAAAGGGACATCCAACCAAGGGTGAAACCCTTGTTGCATGCCTCCTTCACTTGTTTTTCATAGGCCTCAGTGACGTCAGCCATGCCCTGTGAATATGCCTTTTCATTGGCTTCTTTGATTTCAGCTTCTTTGGTGGCCAGGGCTTCCTGAAGCTCTTTCTCAGCTTGGGCCATCTTTTCCTCGGCCTCTCTCTTTTGAGACTCAGCCACTTTCCTGATGGCTTCAGCGGCCTCGGCCTTCTCTTCGGCATTAGTCTGGGCTTTTATTGCAGCCTCGGCCTGGTCCTCTAGTTTTTTCATCTTCAATTGAAGACCTTTGTTGGTCTTTTGGAGGGAAGAGAACTCCCTCTTCATCTCAACAAGCCTTTCCCGATTTTTGAAAGACTGCATTGAAAATGAGTGAGCATACTGGATGGCCTGAAAGAAAACAGAAGTGTTAGAAAATATTAAAAGTAAGAAAGAGGACGATTACCAAATAAAAGACATCTACCTGAACGGAGTGCTGCAGCATCAGGGCGTAATTCTCATACTCGCTAAAACCAACATTTCGTTCCAAGTCCCCTGGCAGAAGCAGAGCTGTACTGAGTGCTACGCCGACATTGATATCATCAACATTGTCAGAGGACAGGACTGGCTTGTCCTCCAGAGTAATTTTTGGAGTCCAAGGGGCACCGCTCTGTTTGGACCCCGAAGTCGTCTCGGAAGAAGACCTCGGCTTTTTGGATTTTGGGGATTCTGATGGCTAAGTTTCAGAGCGCCTCTTCCCAGCAGAGAGTTGAGGTTTGTCGCTCTCAGCTAACTTTGATATAAGCAAAGCATTCTCAGGCTCAGTCTGAGTAACTTTAGCCTTTGGTTAGGCCTTTTTTATTCTCTTTGGCTTCGATGGAGGAAGGGTTTGGGTTGGCTGCTCATCAACAGATGATGGAATGCTGGCCAGAAGATCTTTTGCGACAGGCTTGGAGCGACCCATCTCGGGAGTTAAGACAAGTCGTCGCCGACGTTTTCGTTCTGCAATTGAAACCAAGTATGGAGTTGAAGAAGATGGCTGATCTGTTGGATCAAATGTTGACCCCTGATCTGTCCGAGATGTGGATGCAGTCTGTGGAGTGGTGGCAGAAGGTGGAGATAAACTCTTCTTCTTCTTTTTTCTGGGGACGTCGGGGAGAGCTGATTTGTATGTCGGGATGAAGTTGAGAAGCAGGGGGGCTTTCGCTTCTGAACTGGCAGGTCTAGTAATTTCTTTAAATCCTTGCTGGGAACAAAGGATTGGCGAAAATTTTTTGGCGGCTGAGGCAGAACTGCAAAAGTAAAGGCAAAGTAGACATCAGGAAACAAATAAAATATAGAAGACTTTAAAAGTAAAGCAAGTATGAATGCAGGGCTCTTACCATTACCCTCTATAAAGACTGATCGTGGGAGAGGGAAGAGGTGAAGGTCTTCATTTGGGGCAAACTCCCAATTCCCCGAGATAATGAAATAATCATCTCCAGCCCCTTTGTTGGAGTTTGGGAGGTCGGTTATAATTTTGAATTCTGTGGACCTTGGCTTAAGGTAATAAATGTAGCCTTTTTCTTTCAAGTTAAGGCCACACATGGTATAGCAATATTGGATGTCGGCAAGGGTGATCCTAGCGTTTTCCCGTTTAGCTAGGGCTATAATACCAAAGATCATTCGATAGGAATTGATTGCCAATTGTATGGGGTTCAACTTATAGTAATGGAGAACCTCACGAAAGAGAATGTTTAATGGAAGCCGAAGTCCACACTTTATAAAGGCAACTACAGGGAAGGGCATGGAGTTTTCGGTAGGCATGATGGAGTCATCATCCCCAGCCAACCTCTGATTGACATCGGCTAGGATTTCAAACTCCTATCTAAAGTATTCTAGTTTGGAGGGGGTGTTTACCCTATGTTTCCACATACCCATGATATCGGCTTAATCTTAGAAGGTGGGTCTCAGAAAATGTTTTTAGAAGGTTATTGGGACCTCAGCAAACAGTGAGGAAGGTACAGGTTTCAGTTTTTTCCTAAGTTATGGGTTCTACAAACAAATCCCAAGACCTAAATCTATGGAAACACGGAGTGAAAGCAAGAATCTAGAAAAGATGCAAAAAACAAAAAATAAAAACGAAATTTCAGAAACAAGAATTGAGATGGGCTATCAAGAACATGAAGAATACAAGAGTATATGGCCAAGAACAGTGGCAAAAGTGTAAAGATGTGGTGAAACAGTGCGTGTGTTCAAAATATGGGCAAAAGCAAAATCATGGATGAATACATTCGGATGTACGGTTTATAAATTAAAAGAGCTTGAAACAGTACAGTAATGGCAACAGCAAAAGAAGAAGAAACATCAAGGAACTAAAAACGAAAGGAACAATAGCTTACCAGAAAAAGGGAAAGCCGGAAAGGGATTAGCCGATGTCCTACGACGATTTCAGAAGCAGAAAACCAGTGGAAATCTCGCCGGTAGGGGTGAACGGAGGAGGTTGCAAAGCTTTGGAAGCTTGAGCAATGGAGGATTTCGAAAGCTAGAGAGAGAGAGCAAGGGATTCGAATGAAAAAGTGAAGAGACGGAAAAAAGGGAAAAAAGTTTTTGATTAAACAAAAATGGCGGCAAAAGTAATCAATACGCCTAGAAGAACGAGGGCGTCAGACGGCGCACGTGAGAAAAGAGGTGGCAAACAAGCGCGTCACATGTACGAACCAATAAGTGGGGAAAGTATGTCTAAAACGGTTGGGTTGAAGTGCATGACAACTCATGCGCGTGAGAAGTTCCTTAAAAATCTTGATTTTTTAGGGAAAGCATGTCGGCCAGAATGAATGATCTCGGTTATCAAACTTTAAGCCGATTTACTGGAAGAAAACACAGATATAGGTTCCATCACCTCAGAATGCCGAGGTAATAGAACCTAGGGAGCAGTTGTGGGGATGTATTTTCTGAATACCAACACGTGGCAAGGTGACGCCGACGTGTCAGCCAAGGTGCCACGTGTCCAGGTTGTGACACCGAGGTTATCTCAGCTTCGCCGAGATTGTCTCCGAAGATATCGGAATCCGAGATAAATGGATAAAAGATAAAGGACAAAAGTCCTAGAGTAAAGAGAAGACTTAGCCAAGATAAGGATAAAACTCTTAGAGAATTTATCTTTATCTCCTAAAGAGTCCAAAGTAAGTACTAAATAGGAGTCCATAGAAGTTAGGCTTCTAGTGGGACTAGGTTTATGTTGACTATAAAAAAGAGGCACCTCCGTGGGTCTAAGGTACGCAGCTTTATGCTTTGAATAGTAAGTTTAGCATTTGATTATCTTTGAAAGATATACTGACTTGATCGTCGGAGTGGCCCCGGGTGGAAGAGCCACCGCCAGAGCCTTTTCTTTCTGTTACAGGTGAGCTGAAGCCATCTATTCTGCCGGTGCTCTCCAGCTGATTACTAGGCGGGTAGTGTGGTCAGAAAATCACCCACACAACTATAATAGTTCTTTAATATTTTACAACTTAATTATTCATTAATTTTAAAATACTAACTTAACATATTGACATGATATTTATAAACTAATAATAGCAACCAACACAACACACCTCAATAGGTTGAATAAGAGATAAGGCAGACTCTTTCTATCCTATTTTACATGGCCTTATTATTTAGGAGCATAACATGCACACATATTCTGGGACTATGAGTACTTTTTTTTCATTTTACACATGTTTAGAGAGGATGGACTCAACGACCCTTTGAGCTATCGGATGATAACCGTGGCGAGCCTCTGAGAACACCCTTAGAGCAAAGAGCTTCTCTTCTCCATTTCCGCTGTGTCGAGCAAGTGCAGCATAGAGGGGACGAAGGTACAAAATCCTCCCATTTGCCTTCAAAGTTTTCTCAGTTTCAGTGTAGTAGTCTCTGCACCCACACAAAATGGCCAGTTTGAGAAAGGCCACTTTGACATCATAGTTTGTTGACTCAGCTAGCTTGTACTGTGCATCCAATGCTGAGACCTTCATAGCAAAAACAAACATGTCACCAGCTTTACCATATTTCAAAATAGATTTAAGACTTCTATTCAAGTAAAAAACAACAGAGAAGAAGCAGAAAATTTCACAAAGGTTGTCAAAATAAGGGTAATTTATTCAATAGTTTCGAAGCACCATGTGCAGGGCCAGCCCTGAGGTTTAGGGGGCCTAAGGCGAACTTTGAAAATGAGGTCCTCTTACATTGAAAAAAAAAAAAAATCATGAATAAACGATAAGTTATAACTTTTTTATTTATTTGTAGTCACAAAAAAATTTACTTGCACATATAATCATTAAAATTATAAACAAAACAATTTAATGAAACAAAATTAGGGCAAAAAAATTAGAAAAAAATTATTCAATTAAAACTGATAAAGACCTAGGTAAAAAAATTTGGACAAAATTATTTATTCTACTAAAATCTAATAGATAAAGAAGGTTAAAAAAAAAAAATAAGGCCCATATATTATATGTATTGTTTTTCTTGGGCTCAAACATTTTTTATATATATATATTTTTTCATTTTAATAAATATAAGCAAAAAAATATTGAGCCTATAATATTTTACTAAATTTGGGGGCCTTATTTTTGGGCCAAAATTTTGGGGACCCAGGCCTTACTGACCTTAGGCCAGGGCCGACCCTGACCATGTGGTATTGCCTACGTTGGTATTCCAAACCAGTCACGTAATGAAAATTTTTATGGGTGAAATATATTAATTTACCTTTATTAAGTAGGTAAGAGACAAAAAATGACGTACTTAGTGTGAGTATCAAGCCATATAGTACTAGGGGAGTATGTAACAATTTTCTGTCAAAGCAATAACAATAACATATTTCAACAAAATAAATAAGAAAAATGTTTGGTGGCCACAATATTCGCGGCTCAAATGGCTTGAATTGACCAAAACGACGTCGTTTTGTGTTGTTTTGTGTCCAAAACGACGTCGTTTTGATCAATTCGAGCCATTCGAGCCTGGAAAATTCGGGCCCTCTATCATTGCTGAATAAATAAATATATCTCTACCTGGGAAGCCTCAACAGATTTGGGTATGTTCTCCAAGTAGAGCTCCCACTCCTGTTCTTGCCAATCAGCAACTTCATCCTCCCTTGGCATCCTTCCAAGCTTGAACTCATTTGCCAGTGACACAATCTTTGTATAGATGTTGGAAACGGGCTCTTTGGCATCGGGAGGGATACCAGTGCCCTCGGTCCATAATTTCAAATCAATCTTGATCTCTATTCCATGGACATGCTCTTTTAGGAAATTCAGAAACATGTCGGTGTCAATGGATTGGAACTTGAATGTGGCAATGTATTTCTTCAGGAATTTGTCAAATGCAGGCCTTCCAATCTGAGTATCAAAAAACAGAGAAAATTATTGATAAAAGCAATCAGGACATTATTCTCCATTGAAAAAACCTCCAAGGTTTGAACTGTGATCAAACTGACATACCTGTCGCTCAATGCACCATAGAAACTGGAAACCTTTCTCGTATGGAATTGGTGAATAAACATGGTCTGGGTCTACTCCGTCCTGATTTGTTTTGAGCTTTGTGAACTCCATATTGTCCTTGAATCTCTCCATTTCCTCAACTAAACTTCTCCAACCAATTCCAATATTCAGTGCAGCCTTGTCTACTCCTTGAATGGCCTCGACAATTCTCCGTTCTGCATATGTTGTAAAACCCTGGAATGTATAATGATCTGCTTAAAAACTCATTTGCCAAAGTAAACATGTCTCCAACTACAGCATAGCAAACATTTGCTTATCATGACTTCATTAACCATAAAATCTAAAATACCAAAAATCATTATTTGGTAATGCATAATATAGAGATTACATTAATATTGTTAATATTAAATGTATTATATCATAATTAACATGTATATATTATACTAATGTAATGCATATATTAAATATACATAGTTATAGGATGCCAGAGCAGCCTCACTTTCGGCTGCTTGCTTTCGGCTACTTTAGTTTATTTTATGCTCCACGTAGTTTATTTTATGCTCCACTTTCATCATAATGTTGTATCACACAACTCCTATAAATGGAGTCCCCTCTTACTCCTTCAGACATAGAAAACAAGAATTTCTCTTACTCTCTTAATATCACTCACTTATTTCTTACAAATATCTTGAAATTTTGCCTATATTTTTTTCACTTTAATGAAAAGCAGACTTTAATGAAAAGCGCCAAAGGGGACACAATCAAGATCTATAATAGGTATGACAAGCAAACCAAGAACCCCATACAACAGATTGTTGCATATCTCGTCCTTATCTAAATTACAGATTGGACCACACCAGAACCTTCGTCTCCTCACGACGAATCCAACGCCACCAGATTCATCATCATCCGACGCTCCACGCGCCGCCAGAACTTTCATCCACGCGCCTCCTCGCCTCTCAGACGCGCTCTGCGCGCCCCACACTTGCCCTGTGCTATCGTGCGCCGCGGCCTCATCTGCTAACGTGAGCCGCGTGTTTTTGACGTCAGCCCTGGCTGCTTCCGTGCGCCGCTTGCTTCCTCTGCTATCGTGCGCCGCGCCCGTCTGTGCTAACGTGCGCCGCGCCTGTGACACAGCAGTGACGTCATCTTGACCAGATTGTGACGTCATCTTTGACCAGAATTGTTGACCAACTTTGACCAGCCAATTTAGTGCCTTCTGGTCATCTTTTTTTTGGTCCGTTCACTCATTTCCCACTAATTTCGACCCTCTGAATTCACTGGTAACCTCAGATTTTTCAGACTCGGCTTCGATAGTACTGCTTTTTCCTCATGGATCGCTTGGACTCCTCCAACCACCCTATTTCCGTTGTTCTTGACGGAACTAACTATGTCTTATGGGCACAAGCTATGTCTGGGTTCCTCAAAGGAAAGAAACCTTGGCGCATCATTACTGGGGATGTGTGCAAACCCATCCCAGCCACCACAGAATCCGCTGCCACCACGGACTCCGTTGCAAAATATGTTGACCGTCTGGAGGATTGGGATAGCAAAAACTATCAAATCATCACTTGGCTCCGTAATACTTCTATTACTTCTATCAGCCTTCAGTTTGGTCGGTTCCAACTTGACTCTGCTTCCTCTCCAGCCAAAGTCATCTGGGATTTTTTACAAGAACGCTACCAGACTACTGGCCTTGCTCACCAATATCAGCTTCTGAGTCAACTTCACCATATGCGCCAAGACACATCTCAAACCATTAATGATTTCCTCTCCCAAATGTATTATGTTTGGGATCAGCTCGCTCTCTCTGAACCTCCCTGGGATTGTACTAAGGATGCTGCCTTGTTCACAACTGTCAGAGGCAACCCGGATTGGTACTCTCCACCCTGTGGACTCTGTTCTTGCTACTCCACAGATTCGAAGTTCTCCTTCACCATCTTCCCCACAGAAGACACCTATCTACAACTACTGTCACAACCGCAGTCTTCCATCGACTCATCTTCTGGTTAATTGTCCAGTTCGTCTTTGTCGGTTTTGCAACAAGACTGGTCCTGGTCATCTCCAGCATGATTGCTTCCGCAACCCTGCCCGTGCCTCTCGCAATGGTCCCTCCCCCGGGCATTTTTCCCGCAACAACTCTCACCGTTCACGCACTACTGCTGCTGCCTCAGAGGATTTACCCTTTGAGAGCTTATTATTTTTAATTAAATTTGAATTTCTTACTTTAAATCTTATCTCCATTAGTCAATTATGTGAGCATGGTCTAACTGTTACCTTTTCCGCTTGTGTACAATTGGTGCAGGATCCTCGGACGGGGCAAACTCTTGGGATCGGCCGTAAGCATGGACGTCTCTACGAACTTATCCATCTTCATGTTCCGGATTCCTCTCAAATCACAGCTCCTACCACTGCTTCTCCTTTATCTCCTTTTCAGCTTTGGCACTGTCGTTTAGGCCATCTTTCTGCTGGTCGTTTAAAAACTTTAATTTCTAGTGGTCATTTAGGTCCTGTAAGTTCTGATGCTTTAGATTGTGTGTCCTGTCAACTTGCTAAACAACCTGCTTTGTCGTTTAATAAAAGTGACTCTGTTTCTCTTGCACCTTTTGATCTCATCCATTCTGATATTTGGGGACCCTCTCCTACTCCCACTATGGGCGGCGCCCGCTATTTTGTTGTTTTTGTAGATGATTTTTCTCGTTTTACATGGTTGTTTCTTATGAAAAATCGATCTGAGCTCAAACAGCTTTATTACAATTTTTCTGCAATGGTTAAAACACAATTTTCTAAAACTATTAAACTTTTTCGTTCCGACAATGCCATGGAATATAAAGATTTTGACGTTCTTTCTTTTCTTCAGAGTCATGGTACTCAACCTCATCGATCCTGTCCCGGCACGTCTCAACAAAACGGATGTGCTGAACGGAAACATCGACATATTCTCGACACTACTCGCACTCTTCTTTTGTCTTCCTCTTATCCGGAACATTTTTGGGGAGAGGCAGCTCTCACTGCTGCTTACACTATCAATTGTATCCCTACTCCTGTCATTCAGAATCACACTCCTTATGAGCGTCTGCATGGCACCCGTCCTCTCTACACCAACCTTAGAGTCTTTGGCTCTGCCTGTTTTGTTCTTCTCCAACCTCATGAACGTACCAAACTTGAACCTCGTTCCCGCCTTTGTTGCTTCTTGGGGTATGGTATTGAACATAAGGGGTATCGTTGTTGGGATCCTCTCTCCCAACGACTTCGTATCTCTCGTCATGTGGTCTTTTGGGAACACAAAATGTTTTCCTCTCTCTCTCCCTTCTGTTTGTCCGTTCCCTCACCCTCTCTTTTTTTTACTGACCCTTCCACAGATCCTTTTTCTGATGACCTTTCTCCACCACCCTTGCCACCCTCTCTCGAGTTTTCTGATCTGTTTGCTCCCCCGCCCCTGCCAACCTCTCTCGAGATCGCCTTGCCTACCGGTTTGTCCCCTGCACCTGCTCCCTCTGATGGTCCTGCTCTTGCTCCATCGGGATCCTCCTCTCCTGCTGAGTCTCTTCCTCTGGCTCCTCCTCCCTCTGCTCGACCACATCGAGTAATCCAACCTTCTACTCGTCTTCGTGAATTTATTGTTGGTTCTACTGCTTTTTTTACTTATGAACCGACCTCCTATCGTGAGGCTCACTCTAATCCTCTTTGGCAGCAAGCCATGACTGATGAATTGCAGGCTTTAGACAAAACTCATACTTGGGACATTGTTGATCTTCCTCCTGGCAAGACTGCCATTGGCTGCAAATGGGTATACAAAATCAAGACTTGTTCTGATGGATCTATTGAGCGTTACAAAGCCCGCCTTGTTGCAAAAGGCTTCAATCAAGAATATGGTATTGATTATGAGGAGACCTTTGCTCCTGTTGCTCGTCTTACCTCTGTTCGCAGCTTGATTGCTGTTGCTACCGCTCGCCAATGGGATCTTTATCAATTGGACGTGAAAAATGCTTTTCTTAATGGTGTTCTTCTCGAGGAGGTCTACATGCAACCTCCCCCTGGGTCTGCTTATCTCCCGCATCAAGTCTGCAAACTTCGGCGTGCTTTATATGGTCTCAAACAAGCTCCCCGTGCTTGGTTTGCCAAGTTCAGCACCACTATTCAGAAATGTGGTTTCACCTCCAGCTCTTATGATACTGCTCTTTTTATCCGAAAAACAGCTCAAGGGACCACCCTGCTTTTACTTTATGTAGATGACATGATTATCACCGGCGATGATATCGATGGTATTCTTCGCCTTAAACAGTTTCTTAGCCATCATTTCGAGATGAAAGACCTTGGTCCTCTCAGTTATTTCTTGGGTCTTGAAATCTTCCATGATTCTACGGGTTCTTTTCTCTCTCAGGCTAAGTACACATCTGATCTTCTCACCCGTGCTGGTCTTACCGATTGCAAGACTGCCTCAACTCCCCTGGAGCCTCAGAGTCGTCTTACACCTCTTGATGGCACTCTTCTCTCTGATGCTACTCTATATCGTCAGCTGGTTGGCAGTCTTGTCTATCTCACTGTTACTCGTCCTGATATTGCCTATGTCGTTCATATTGTCAGCCAGTTTATGTCGGCTCCTCGTACCCCTCATTATGCTGCCTTGCTTCGTATCCTTCGGTATCTCAAAGGCACCCTGTTTCATGGTCTTCATTATTCCGCCCGCTCATCTCTTCAGCTTCGTGCTTTCTCAGATGCTGATTGGGCTGGCGATCCTACTGACCGGCGCTCTACTACTGGGTTCTGCTTTTTTCTGGGTGATTCTCTTATTTCTTGGCACAGCAAGAAACAATCTCTTACTGTTCGTTCCAGTACCGAGGCCGAATACTGTGCTCTTGCTGATACTACTTAGGAGTTTCTCTGGCTGCGTTGGCTTCTTGTTGACATGGGTGTTACCTCCTCTGGTGCTACTGACCTCTTTTGTGACAATCACAGCGCTCTTCAAATTGCTCACAATGATGTTTTTCATGATCGCACCAAGCACATTGAGATTGACTGCCATTTTATTCGTCAACACATCGCTCGTGGTACAGTCCATCTCCATCCGATTTCTTCTGTTGATCAACCTGCTGATATCTTCACCAAAGCTCATTCTCCTGGCCGCTTCGTTGACCTTGTCTCCAAACTCCAGTTGGTTGATGTTTGTCCTCCTTGAGTTTGAGGGGGGCTGTTAATATTAAATGTATTATATCATAATTAACATGTATATATTATACTAATGTAATGCATATATTAAATATACATAGTTATAGGATGCCAGAGCAGCCTCACTTTCGGCTGCTTGCTTTCGGCTACTTTAGTTTATTTTATGCTCAACTTAGTTTATTTTATGCTCCACTTTCATCATAATGTTGTATCACACAACTCCTATAAATGGAGTCCCCTCTTACTCCTTCAGACATAGAAAACAAGAATTTCTCTTACTCTCTTAATATCACTCACTTATTTCTTACAAATATCTTGAAATTTTGCCTATATTTTTTTCACTTTAATGAAAAGCAGACTTTAATGAAAAGCGCCAAAGGGGACACAATCAAGATCTATAATAGGTATGACAAGCAAACCAAGAACCCCATACAACATATCCTTATGAAGCATGAAAATCTCGACATATAACCAAACCAAACCTTAAGTCCCATCAAATGGGATCAACTACATGAATCTTTCTTCTCTACGCGGCCCTATCTCGACATATATTCTAAGAATATAAAGTTTTGAAATTTGGATAAAAGAAATTTACAATTTTCTTCTGTGATTAGTTTTTAGAAGTAATCAAAACAATATGAGAAAAGAAACAAATTACTCCAATAGAGTTCAAGCTGTGGACTAGACAGGATAGTCTGAGTCTGTGGGTCCATCACGGGCCTTATTTTTGATGATTTGATTTATTGATCTTTTAGGTTTCAATGGGTAAATTATTCACAAAAATTTCAAATTTATCCTATAATTGTATTCGTATGATCCTTTCAATCATATACCTTATTTAAAAAAAATACACCACAAATGTAATTTTTGAAAACAAATTATCTATTTCTTCTGAAGACAAATATGATTAAATTATGTAATTAAAAATGATATAAAAATCTTAACAGCTTAGAGAAGACAAATATGATTAAATTATGTAATTAAAAATGATATAAAAATCTTAACAGCTTAGATCATGACTGTGTGGGCTCTAGATCCTTCAGACTCAAGAACAGAGTGAAACTCTCTCTTCCTAACAAAATGTCCAATAAAACAGTACTCAACAGATTATGGAGAGGAAAAACAGAGAAATATAACAGCAAATAGATTTTGATACCTCATTCAACCAAACATGTTCATTGGTCTTGTTAGTGATCAAATTCCCAGTCCATCCGTGAGCAAGCTCGTGTGCCACCACTTGTCCGCCACTTCCATCCCCCTTAACCACTGCCGGAGTCAAGAACGCCACCCTCGGATTCTCCATCCCACCATATGGAAAGCTCGGCGGCAACACCAACAAATCAAACCTCTCCCATTCATACTTCCCAAACAACTTCTCTCCAACCTTAATCATCTCCTCCGTCCCCGCAAACTCCTTCGCTGCACCGTCCAATAACTCTGGCACCGCCTCCGCGTAAACCCTAGTCCTCGGCCCCACCTCTCTATGCCCAATTTCCCCAACTGCAAAGGCAAATAAGTATGGCGGCACCGGTTGCTCCATCACAAACTCCTCCACCACTCTCCCTTCCGAACACCTAATCAAAATCAGTGAGACAAGAAATACAAATACAATAAATCAAAAAAGCCAAAATTTTCAAGTGGAGCTGTGACCAAGTTGCTCAAGTTTGACTTGTTAAAAACTCGCTAGACTTATAGATAAATAATCTAAATTTGATCACGAATTTAAGCACGTTAAATTTTCAAGTCAAATTCGAATGATCTCCTACTCTACTCAAAAGATTATATAATCAAGTCACACGTGCTCGACTCATTAAAAACTCATTTGAGATCATGTCGGTAAGTCAAACGTAAATATATTTTGAAACTCGTTAAATTTTTAAATCAAACTTAAACAATCAATTACTTGACTCAACTCCAATAGTTTAAAGTGAAGACTTATTCCAAAATTAAAGCTACGTCCACGAATATTGTCATTTTTCACTATGATAAAAATTAAAGCAACAAAATACAAGGACCAAAATACTCTTACTAACACGCACCACAACGAATCGTCAATCGCTATTGCAGGCTCTCCAGGCACCGGCCTCCGGCGCCCGACATGCTTGGCTGCCATGACGGCCGAGAGGTGGATCGGAATGTTGAGCAGAGCAGAATAACAGATCCTGGCGGCAGGGGTGTCCTGGCATGGGAACACAGATCGAGCGTGAATGGGTTGGCAATGAGAGTAAACAAAGGGGAAGGACTTGGTGGAGGTCTGCGGCGGAGAGAGCCATTGGAGGGCGGAGCTGGAGGGGGAGGTGGTGAAGATGATGGAGAATTTGGAGTGGTTAGAGAGAGAAATTGTGAGGGATTGGCCTTTGATGGGGTCGGAAGGAGAGGAGAGAGAGAAGGGGAGAGGGGTTTTGGTGAGGGGGTCGAAGACGGAGGTGATGGAGAGAGAGCGGGTGTCGAGAGAGATAGGGCCGGAGTGGGGGGTGGGGAGAGAGAGGAGAGCGGAGGAATGGATGGTGGAAGATGAGAAGTCGAAGAAGAGAGAGAGGGAGATGTGAGTGGCCAGTGGGTGTGATGACTCTGTGAACGAGTGTGGATCGATAGGCGCCATTGAAGGACAAGTGGGAGTGAGAAAGAGAGATTGGTTTTCGAATCGGAGACGACGATTCTGAAGACGAGGGAAAGCATTGGGAGTGGTTTTATACTGTTTTTTTAGTTTTAAATTTGGAGGGAAGAGTGTTGTTATTTTTCTTTATTAAAAAATGAGTGAATTACAGCCTGGTAGGATTTAGTAAAAAAATTACAAAAATATGTAAAGTATAAGTCGTTTTGTGGTGCGATACAAATGAAGGTTTGGTTTGGGAAGTGGATTGATTTTTTTATTTTTTGGCTTTTTTGACTATTTTAATCTGGGTTAAAAAGTTTGGTTTGGGAAGGGTTTTAGGGTTTTTTGGTTTTTTAGATATTTTGACCTTTTTTGTGACAGAAGAGTGTAATGATTATGAGTTGGATGTGATAGCCTATTTTATCTTTTGTGGCTATTTTAACCAAAAAAGCCCAAAAAACCTCTTCCCAAACAGAGGCGAAATGTTATGAGAATGTAATCCTTCATGTTTTTGTTAAAATGAAAAAAAATATGTTCTACTGGAATGTAATTATTTCTTAAAAAAGGGGGGTGGGGAGAGAGAGGAGAGCGGAGGAATGGATGGTGGAAGATGAGAAGTCGAAGAAGAGAGAGAGGGAGATGTGAGTGGCCAGTGGGTGTGATGACTCTGTGAACGAGTGTGGATCGATAGGCGCCATTGAAGGACAAGTGGGAGTGAGAAAGAGAGATTGGTTTTCGAATCGGAGACGGCGAATCTGAAGACGAGGGAAAGCATTGGGAGTGGTTTTATACTGTTTTTTTAGTTTTAAATTTGGAGGGAAGAGTGTTGTTATTTTTCTTTATTAAAAAATGAGTGAATTACAGCCTGGTAGGATTTAGTAAAAAAATTACAAAAATATGTAAAGTATAAGTCGTTTTGTTGGGAAGAATTTTTTAGCTTTTTGGATTTTTTAACCTTTTTTGTGACAGATGAGTGTAATGATTATGGGTTGGATGTAATATTTTGTTTGTTATGACTAAAATAGCCTATTTTATCTTTTGTGACTATTTTAATCAAAAAAACCCAAAAATCCTCTTCCCAAACACAGGCGAAATGTTATGAGAATGTAATCCTTCATGTTTTTGTTAAAATGAAAAAAAATATGTTCTACTGGAATGTAATTATTTCTTAAAAAATCTAACAAACGTTTACTGGTCCCACAAATTGGAGTGATTTGGTGAATTTTTTGAACATTTTGTTTTTTGGTATTCCTAATATTTTCTATAAAATAAATATTTAAATGAAAAAATAATAATTTATTTGAGATATTCTTTTTGGCACTCAACTTTTAAGATATTTTATTGGCTTAATTTTTTATTTATTTTTCATTTTTTTTGAGAACTAAACAACCATTGAAACAGTTTATACTTAGGCCCCGTTTGGGGACTTACCTTTTTAGCTAAAAAGTCAAAAAGTTACCCTTTTAGCCAAAAAGCCAACAACTCATACCAAAAAGTCAAAGATTCTCTTTTCTCTCTACTGCACATCTTTTTGTAATTAGCCAAAAAGTCATCCCAAACATATAAGTTTTTTTTACCTACTTTTTTAGCCAAATAGTCAAAAAGTTACTAAATTAGCCTGTTCCCAAACGAGGCCTTAGTAGTCATGAGTTGCTTGGATTATATCTCTTTATATCATCTCTTTAGGGGTGTTTGGTTTAGCCATTTTTCATTCAACTTATAGCTTTTAATTTAAAAAAAGTTAAAACTAGCTGTTTATTTCAGTTTAATCATACCAACTTCAACTTCTAACAGCTTTTTTTGAAGGTAAATAATCAGAATTTGAGAATTATCCCCAGGGGTGCTTTTGAATCTCAGATTAAGTGGAGGGCCAGCATTAAGGGCCAAAATTACTTAAATGTCCTTCATCAATTTGAAGTATTATCAAATTGCCATTATATAAAACCACAAAAGGCGGTTCACTCTGAGAGAGAGAGAGAGAGAGGCCATTTCTGGCATGATAATCGGCGATTTCCAACGTTGTGAATTAGAGCGCTCTCTCTCTCCCTCTTTCCGGCATTGTGAACCTCTCTCTCTCTCTGCGATCAACCCTAGCTCTCTCTGTATTCTCTTCGATTTTGTAGAGAGAGCCCCGCGGTGGCTAGGATTTGGTATTATTGTAATGAATTAATAAATTAAAAAAAAATAGCAATTTTTATATTATTAATTTGTATTGTAATGAAAAAAAATCACAATTTTTATTTCACAATTATTGATATAAATTGCACAATTTAAATAAAGAAAAAATTGCACAATTTTATTTTAATGAATATTGATAAAAATTTATTTCAATTAAATAACTTCTATTAAAATAATTTTATAATATAAAATTCTTTGGTATTGTAAATTTTTTAAAAAAAAAAATTGAAATAACTTCTATTAAATGAAATAACAATTGTTGTAATGAAATGTATCAATTTTTATATTAATTGATACTGATTATGTGAACTTCTACCAATGAAATAATTTTTTTTTAAAATTAAAACTGAAGATTATGAAAAAATAATAATTTTTATATCTTATAAGAGCAAAAAGGACATTACACAGCAAAAACTATTTTACAACTTATTCAACCAAATACGACTCTACTGATTAAATCAAAAATCCAACAGTTGCACTAAACAAATTAATAACTTTTGATTAAAACCATAATTTATAATATTTTAAATTATAATCAATAATTTGTTTTAACAATTATATCAAACGGACCTTTATATCTTAATTATACTAAAAAAAGAAAAATACAGAAACCTAATATCATTAATAGTAGCCATTATATTCCAATCGACCACTGAAGCATACGAATCAAAACTTAGCAATCAATTTTAATGGAAACAAACTGCATTCCTTTTTCCTTCGCCTACCGAATTGCGTCCAAGCATGCTCTCGCTTCCGCCTGCAAGGGTGATGCCAAACTAGTGACCAAAGCCTTTTGCGTAGGGGTGGGCGCGGGTCGATTGCCGTCAAAGAATCTTCAATTCATTATCCATTTGCCAAATTAGTAGATTGGAGAAAATCAATCCATATCCGTCTGTCAATTCAGCAGATGTGCATTGACGGATTGACAGATGGATGCGAATCGGTTTGGCAGTTTAAAATTTTATAAATCTTCAACATAATTCAACTTGTGCACTTCTTAAAAAAAAAAAAAAGTATTACAGTCAATGACTTAAAAAAATATTACAATCACTGCATGTCTCATTCAAAGAAAGAAAGTTTGAAATTTTAGAATATTACAATCACTGTATGCCTCATCTACATATTATAATCTGTTGAACAATCTTTACTGTATTTAAAAGATTTAATTCTATTGTGTACACAGCAACAATAAGAATTTAAAGAAATAAAGAAAAATGAGAGAATTTGTTTGATTACAAAAATTAAACTCGAAATAATAAATAAATAAATAAAACCACGGATTTTATTTTGTTACAAAAACAAAAATAAAATCTGATTAAATAAACATAATAAAAAACAAAATAAAATTAAACAACTTACTTGGTTAATTTATTTGAATAACTTTTCTGATCAAGTCCAGTGTTTAACACTATGTCCTTAAGACAGATTCGTCCTCTCCACGGTACTTTCAGAATTTGGACGTCTATCTCCCAAGATGAAATGATCTTACCACAAACAATAGCAGCACTACAAATTGTTTGCCTTATGAACACACTAAGTGTTTACACTATTTCTTTCGGAAATAAAATGCAGCAAGATGAAGAATATAAATAGCAGAAGTGAAATACGAAATTTCTGAATGGAAAACATCAAAAGAATATAATTTGCAGAGGATGGAGTACGAAAATTGGAATGAAATCCAAATGGGAGGCTAGTCTATTTATAGATGTAAATGTGGCTTTTGGTTTTGAATTGAACAGGTATGAAACCTGTTAGATTCAAATTTAAACAGATTTGAATCTGTTTATTCAAACAGATAGAAACGGGAAGGGCTCTGTTTGGATGAGCAATAAATCCAAAACAGTTTAATTCTGTTTGAAAACGGGAAGGGCCCTGTTTGGATGAACAATAAATCCAAAACAGTTTAATTTGAATTCTGGATTTTATTTTAATAAAAAATAAAATTAAATTCAAATGTTTTTGGTCCAAAAAGATTAGAAACCCAACCACACACCAGCGCGCCCGACCGGACGGACGGTGGCGGCCGCGCGCGTGTGGTGATTTTTGGGTCTAATGGGTCTAGCCTATTTTGCCCATAACCTCTCCTTCTAAAACACTTGGGTACCCCTTGGGGCACACCCCAAGTATCTCACCCTACGCCTTATAAACCCTTTCAAAACTTCCCACCAAATCAATGTGGGACAAGCCAATTTACCACCTTAAGTAATTTTCACCAAAACTCTATTTCCATGGAGCACACTTTGGCTTCAATTTCCCATTCACTCGGTAATGGTTTTAAGCAATCAAATATACCACGTGAATCACAACACGGCATAGAACGCGTTACCACTTTGACCCGAGTAAATCGACACTCGGGGCCCACCTAAAAAATAGACTGAACTTAAGAAAAACTTCTAGTTTTTACCCAGAATTTATAACCATTTCTAACATAATAGCAGCATATTTCACCTACATAAAATATTACAATCTGTGGTTCTTAAAATATAAAAATAATTTAAACCACCAAAACCATAAACAGAGTAGTAGTAAAGATTGTATGCCTCTGTATCGTTACATTTATATTTGTTTTTGAAAGTAAAAACTAACCAGCATATATCTCTTTTTTATTTATTATTTTTAGAGTTAGATTTAAAAATTAAAAAATATAGATAAATAATACATTTATTTTTTTCAATTCAAAAAATATATTCAAGTTGAAAACTCTTTTTCAACAGAATATTTAAACTTTTTTTCAATTGAAAACATAAATAGAATATCTAAATAAATTGAAAATACAAAATCTTACAAATTACTAGGGGTGCTTGCGGTTTGGCGGGTCAGTTGCGGCAAAAAAAATTTCAAATCTGCCATCTGTCCAAAACTAGGCGGATTAGAAAAAATCAATCTACAACCGTTCGCTCACCATCACGCATCCGTCCAAAATGTGACGGATCGATTTGGTTCGATCAGTTTGAACAGATCGATATATCCGCTATTCAACCTTACTTTTGATTCATAAACTGATATTTGGCTTAAATTAAGATTATAAATAAATTATTGCTTAAATAAATTAGTTTGTTTTTTAAAACCTTTTTTAATGACTCTTTTTAAAAGTGTGTTTATTTGAGAAGTAATTGTTTTAGTTGATTTTTTAATTTTTATAAAAAGACGTGTAAAAAATAAAAAATAGTGATTTTATTGAGTATTTTAATTATTTTGATTATTTTAATTAAAAAAATCACCATTCCAAATGAAAAAAACGACCTAAAATTTTTAGCAAAATGGACTGACTAACCAAACTTTAGATTTTTTTGGTGAACCATTTTTAATTACTTTTTAGAATGGTTAAATTTGACATTTTGGTAGCAAATGGGTATTACCCAAAACGGAAAGACTTAGAGATTCATATTTCATAAATAATGACATGATAAAGGAGTATTACTTTTTATTTTTTCTTTTTTCTTGACAAACGATAGGATGTTATTGATTAATAAGTTACATAACAATAAAAAAGTCGCATTCGCTTCGTCAACTCAATTTTAAATCTCTAATCTTCTCACTATTGCAAGAGACATTGTCACATTTATCAATGGACCAATTGCTATGTCTCAAGAAAGTTAGACTTTACATAATTAAATATTCGACAAATAAAAAATTAGCACATAACATGTTATGTCATTATGAATAAAATTATAGGACTTAAATTGTGGATCTCAATATTTTTCCTTATCGAAATGACTTAAAAAAACTATAGCAAATTTTTTAACTAATGGCAAAAACTTATAAAAATAAAAATAAAATTCAACTTATTTTTGTATTTTTTTGATTTTTTTTTAAACTCTCAGTTACTTTTTTAGCTCTATAATTCTAAAATCTTAAAAAATTTGAATCAATTTTAAAAAACATTCATTAAAAATAAAAATAAGTCAACATTTACAAAAATTAACCCCTTTTTTTTGTTTTTGATTTATTTTTTCTAATATATTTATACAATTAGGATCCATCTCGTTTGGGAGCTTTGCTTTTTTAGTTAATTTTTTGATTTTTTAAATATCTTAACCTGGTTAAAAAAAAGTTGTGTTTTAGATGATAATTGACTTTTTTTTGTAATTGATTTTATGATTGTGAGAGAAAAAATAAAATGAATATAATTTGAATATAACATTTTATCTTATTAATTATTTTAATCTTTTTATTTTTATTGACTATTTTAGCTCCAAACTTACATCTCAAGCACCGCATAGTGGACACAAATTTAAAAAGTAAAAAAACTGAGCTATTTAAAAAATAAAATAAAATAAAATAAAGACAAAATAAGTAAACTAAAAAAGTTTTAAAAATCTAACTCCTTAAAAAGCAAGTGATGGTGGTAGTGGTTTTGATTAGGTAAAAAGTTGGGGAATGCTTATGCCCATTATTTGAAATGTAAAGTAAATGACAAAATTATATTTGGCTAATTGCACTTGTATTGCTTCAAATATTTTTTTCTTAGAATTTGTGTCATCAATTTTACCTAGAATCAAAAGGAGTGGTAGTCGTTGTGATATAATAATTTTTTTATTTTTATAATAGTCAGATGTTGGTTGTTAGATTAATACATATTGATGGAGGGTGTAGAAGTGGAAAGTGGGTTTGGTGGTGGTGGTGGTGGTGGTGGTGTTGGTGCCACTTCTAGGTTTCACAACTTTGGAGGTGGTGATGGTTCTTCAGCAGCAAGTACTGCAATCACAACTACTGATCATGGTGAGAAGAATCTTTGGAACCGACTCGGATTTTCGGAAAGTAATCCTCCGGATGATGATCCTGATCTTGATTTGAATCTCAAACTTTGAAGAAATTGTTTTAGTATTATACGGGGTTTCTGCTATCTTTGTTTGTGATAATTTTTTATAAATCCTAGAATTCATATGATAATTTTTTATTGTGATAGGCTAAATTTATCCTCCCACTGCACTACCAGCATTTTAAATCCACCATCCTTGCACCCAACTTTGAATGATCTCAATGGCTAATAGTTTACAAAACCTTTCATCTATGTTTAGATTATCAATTTGTATAAAAAAAAATTATAAAGAAAGAGAAAAGGAAAACATTTTATTTAAAAAAAAATAATAATTGTTACTTCGCTAATTATGTCTGAATATATGGATATTGCTAATTATGGCACCCTTCATTTTTTATTTTTATTTTTATTTTTTGAAGGGGAAGCCCTTTCTTTGTTTGAGGAAGAAAAGCACACCCTTCACTCTCATCATTTTCTACTTAGGCCTCATTTAGGAACATACTTTTTTAGTAATTTTTTAATTTTTTGGTTAAAATATGATGTAAAAAAAACTAGTATGTTTGGGGTGACTTTTTGACTTTTTACGAAAAGATGTGCAAAAAAATAAAGAGAAAATAAAATCTTTGACTTTTTGGTATAAATTGTTGATTTTTTTATTTTTTTAATAACTTTTTGACTAAACCGGTCGCTTCCCAAACGAGCCCTTAGTAGGTGCCATGGAGCGACCATATGTACAAACTAGTGTCCATAGGCCAACCAAAATTACAAACTAGTGTCCATAGGCCAACCAAAATTTTCTACCGAGTATGTACATACAATCCGCATCGAATTTGGCCACGAAAATAGCACCTTAGCCCGCCTGCAACTAAGCCCAACAATCTTTTTGCGGGCAGGGCAAGACCCTTGACTCAAATCCAATCCAACAAGACTTGACCCAAACCAGCTCACAGGTCAACTCAACGAGTCACCTCTTATGGGCCAATAGGCTGGCAGGCAGGCCGAGTTTCAAACTCCAGGCCCAGGCCCAGTCCAAGCCTCATTCGCACTGGCCAGACCATGCACGAGTTTTGAATGATGACCCTTTATGTCCAATTGTGTTGTGTGAAGATAAATTTCATTATCTTACTAGCTTGCATTTCTCCAATCAAAGCTTCCCTTTCTCCAAATTGTGCAGAAAATCACTGGTTGAAGAAAGCTTCTTTGCTTTCAAGCAGAAAACTCACCTCTAATGAAGCCTTTCATTTCTCTGGAGCCAAATACAAGCCATCCCCATTTCAAGTGCACAAAAACATACAATCATACTTCAACATCATCAATAATGTTCAACAGTGTTCAGTCTCTTGCCAAAGAGAGCATGGATTGACTCAAACTCATTACAAAAGTGTGCCCTTTGTTTTTCACCCATGTAAGAAAATAAATACATGCAAAGACACCAAAAGAATTCACGGTTAATAGACCATTCCTCAGTAAAAGGAAAACGAACACGGAAAAGAAAAACAAAGAGGAAATGATTTCATTAAATTCCACAAAAGGGTTCATTCAACGAATAAATTAGCCTTTTCTTTGGGTTCAATGTCCTTTGCATGTATATTTCAAACAATGCAAGTATGAATAAAAATGTTATGATACGAAGTGAACATGATAAGAGAATATACGCGGAAAATGATGTGAGTATTATGCATTACCCTCCCTACTCATAATATATTCCACTGCCTCTTCAACAGTATCAACAACCTGCGGAAAATAGAGATGTATGGTTGGCATTTGTGCCTAAAATTCTCCCTTGAACTTGGACTTAGTTTTCAAGATGGGGTGAGAAGAATAAAAAGTTCTCATGGTACTTCACATTATCAGTAAAAGTTGAAGCAAAGAAATGGAGTTGAAGAAGAACTAATTGCAGCTTTAGTAACAAGGATGCTCATTAGATAATAGGACTGAGGATCGCTTGTCAAAAAAATGAATATTTAGTCAAAACATCTGTTATTGTCAAGTACAAAACAGATTTCAGATATAAAATGCAAAAATCTAAATGTTTCTTAAGAGCATAGTTGCTAAATTCAATTACGATATTTTCTGTCAGCAAAATCTCCAAAAGTTAGATTTCATTTTAAATTATTGGAAGAAGAAACGAAGTGACAAGGATTATCATGACTACAACCTGAATTAAACTTAATTATATATATATATATTTTTATAAATAACCTGAATTAAACTTTATGATTATATGAAGGTATGGTTCAATATGATTATATGAAGGTATGGTTCAAACATAACCATTCTAGGATGGGTTATCTTGATTCTTAAGTTTCATATTGAAATATTAGAGACCATAAATTGTAAAGAATTTGTTTGCCTTTTAAGACCTTCCTCTGCGAAAAAAACATTAGAACACTTTCCATTTTAGACTGTGTTTTGTGGACTCTTCTATTTCCTTCAAAGTACACATGTCCACATGACAAGAGTAAGGGTGTGAGATATGTGTCCAACTCCCATACCCAATTTATGATGTTGGATGAAAAGGAAACTCATATTTACTAGTGAAGACACTCTAGCCTCTCACATGAATGAGAGATAGAAATTCTACATTTTTCCTAAGTCATATTTAATTTCTAGTACATTTCTACACAATTTATAATATTTTATCTAAGAATATTATACAACATGCAATATATGTGTCCATGATGCACCCCATACCCACATCCAACTTTTGGATATATATATATATATTAAGATTTAGGTGTATGAAGGTTTTGACACTTGGACTCAGGTTCACACCTGCTACTCATACTTGAGTCCATGTGACATGGACATAAAACTACATTGACATGTAAGAGATATCATCTTTAAGACTTACCAGATCAGCTGGAAACTCTGCATGATTTTCTTTTTCCCTGAAAACACCTGTCCTTGTCAAAATTGAAAACCATGGATGTCCTGCCTGGAAGTGCCAAAGGAAAATTTCTTAATCCTCTTTAAACTGAATATGGTTGATTTATTTAAAACCACCCATATATATATGCAAATATTGGTGTGATTGGAAACCATAAGGAGGGCACAGACAGACCTGTTGTGCACCTTTGATGTCAACTACAGGATTGTCACCAATCATATACAGGGTTTTAAAATCAAGAGATACCATGTCTTCAATTCCAATGACATTATCATCATGACAAGATGCCTGGATTTGTCTCAAAATGGTTTCAGCATTCTTGAATACAAATGGATTTGGTTTCCCGAAAGATGTATACTCCAAAGCACTATGGTGAATTCTGCATGTTGTTACCAACAAGGAATTTACATGAATTGGCAACATTATATATGGAAAAGCACATTGAATCAACAAATGCTTGTTTGTGCCACACATGTTAAATGCAACCTGGGTGAGAATACTAACAACCTACAAATATAATCCCTACGATTTTATTGCCTTTGAATAAATATCCATTGAAAGATATAGCATAAGTTTTATGACCCATATTGCATACTGAACAAATTCAGAAAGATGGTATATGCTTTATGGCACATATTAACTATTGAGGAAAGAATAAACCATATCTCATTAATGCGCTGACAACATCAGTTAAGCAGAAAAAGATATGAACCCAAAACCGCATTTTAGAGTGATGGGTACCCATTTAATGGAAAGTGGAAGCACAACCAATTAATTGACAACAAGAGACCAACCTTACCTATTGAAGATGCTTTCTAGTGCAATTCTGAATGCACCCATGCCAAGACGTTTAGCAGGAAATGCTGCCTGTCCTAAGTTGGCATCTGATCAGTAAATTCTCGACAATGGATACAGTCATATCCTATATTTCTAGAATTCAAAGTAGAAGCCATTAGAGCAAATCATATAACATCAGAAATGAAGGTGCTAAGCTTCTCAGAAAGCAAAAAACAAAAACAAAACAGATGGACTAAAACCTAAGCGTTCAAACTGCTACAACCATGTTCCAATAATTGGTGGGCACAATTAAATAAGGGAACGGCTTCTCTCCAGTTTAAAGATGAACCGGACTGTCCAGTCCTTGTGATCAGATTGTGACACATCATCAAATTAGTCTTTTAATTGTTCAGATTATTCCATGCATACATGATCTTCAAACGTTGTCCTTTAGTTCAAACTAAATTAACGGAGGTGGTAATTCCACAAACATTAGGGCTTTTTGGTTTTCTTTCTGAAAGAAAAACCGGGAAATTATTATACAGAGACTCAGGACAAAATACTTGGTAGATTTGGGAAAAAAAATTCGCACCGGTAAAGTTCCTTTTCAACGACAACTTTCTGAAACCTCTTGAATAGATCAACGGATATCAAATGTTTGAGGCCTAATCTTCTTATGATCAATGAAGATAGCTAAGTGTTAGAAATAAACTGGTTTTGTGGAAAAATATTCAAAAGAGAACCAAAATTAGGGAGTGGAATTTATAAATTAATTACCTAATTCAAATTTAATTTCTTGATTTGTTTTTAATGGATCTATATGGATGAGCACAGTGATTCTTATATTATTGCTGGCCCTGAACGCTCTGCAACTGTGATGGATTCGAGTGTATCTCTCAAAAATTAGTGGCGGCGGTGGTTGATTTAAGAAAATGTTGCAAAGACCCAACTCTGCCATCTTCTTTCTGTCCCATGGCTAATGCAGACCTCCAACCTTGATACATTGGTGCATGCTTCAGTTCTTGTGCTAAGGATTCTCATTTGGAGGTTTTGTCTTTACCTATGTAACACTTGCACCACCCAACAGTTACAAGAAGAAGATAACTGAACATAAATTGAAGAGAGAGGGGAAAGATTGGGAGATAAAGTTTAGAGAGAGAAAGGATTGGGTTTGATAGAGAGAGAAGACGAAGTGGTTGTTGGAGGCATTAGTGAACGACTTTAGGCATTAATACGTCTGTTAGTTTACTTCGGAACATAAAACGACAATGTTTTTAGTTTATAAATTTCCACTTGTGAGGCGATCCTGACCGTCAAAAGAGTAAATAAATGACGTGGCAAAATCATCTTACAGCAACTGGACATTCCGGCTTATCCTTGGACTGCAGAGAAGCCATTCCCAATAAGTAAAACCCAATAAGTAAATTCCCCTTTAAGTGTAAATTGGTCAGAGGATATTCAGTTGATAATACAACAAATTTCCTGAAAAATAACACTCACAGTCATTTTTGGCTGGTTGAGATTAACTTAAACAACCAGCGCACAAATCTCCATTTTACGGTTCTGATGTCAAGGTTTATTCAGTGGAATCCGTAGGATTATTCCACCTCTATATGCAAACTAAGGCCTTGTTTGGGAACTCTCATTTTTAGCTAAAAAGTCAAAAAATTACTAAATTAGTCAAAAAGTCAACAACTCATATCAAAAAGTCAAAAATTCTCTTTTCTCTCTACTATTTGCACATTTTTTCGTAAAAAGTCAAAAAATCATCCCGAACATACTAGTTTTTTTTAGCTCATATTTTAGCCAAATAGTCAAAAAGTTACTAAATTAACATGTTCCCAAACGAGGCCTAAATTATAGTTCATTGTCTAAAATTAGCTTAATCACCAACCTGGTATTCAAGGTCATCAGCTGCGAAGTACAAGGCTGGTTGATGCCCATTATTCTCTGCAGGAAGTCCTCCAGATCTTAAGATATCACAGAGAACCTAAACCATCAATGGTCAGTACAGAACATTCCAAGAAAATCAATGAATCCTTTGGTATATGGTGATAAAGAACAGCCCAATTAGAACGACAACATTCAAGGCAATGGAAAAATAATAATAGGTATAATTTGCAGCAAAGCACTCCAAATATTTCAAGGGAAAGCTTACAAGGAAAACCAGAGAGAGAGTAAGTATGAAAAAAAAAAAAAAAAAAAAAAAAAAAAAAAAGAGGGGGGGGGGGGGGGGGGGAAGAGAGGCAATGAAACAAAAAAAATACAAAAGCCCAAAAAGAAATAAAACAAGTATGAAATTTTGTTTCATCCGTCGTTCTTGAAACCTGTCTTCAAAAATATATATATATAATTTTCCGTTTTCCAAGTAGGATAGCAAAATAAGAACAACTGTGTTCTGAAAATTTTCTTAGTTTTATTAGTAGTAAACTGCCATGTGTACTCTTTTATAGTGTATTAAGAACATACAGCAGCCCACCTCTCACAGCTTCCAGTGCAATTCAGCCCATAAGAAATAAAAAATGATTGGGAAAGAGGTTTAAATCAGCACTCAGAGATGCTAACAAAACTTGCTTACCGCTATACATAATACAAGCAACATCGACATTAAATATCTTTATGTTCTTTTTAATTTTTTAAACATATTGCATCTTCTTAATCTTTATATTACATTAGATGTAGTTTCTTATACAAGGATTGATGCATAAAAAACTGAAAGTGGTTGTTTTGTTTTTTTTTTGTTTTTTTGATGTATAGGAATATATACTTCTATACAATATTTGTATATGTAGATACTCTCACTCTCAAGGTATTTTGATAAATGACACTCACTGTTGATATTTCCCTTCATTTCTCTGGAAATTATTACAACCTCAAAAAATGTAGAAAGGCTATCCAGGTATAAGGCTCTTCCTTTAATAATGCCCCTTTTCAAAGAGTTTCAAGTTCTGAAGTGCACTATGCTTGTATTTAGAAAGCTCTGAGCCTCCATTCTATCTCACCTAAAACTAAAACAATTGTTGGACTGAACTAAATTGCTGTATTGCACAACAAATCACAAAACATATTGGCAAGTAAACCATGACATATTGACTAATTTCTTGTGAATTTAAGGCCACCACTATAATCACAGAAGCTACTACATTAGGTTACAAAATGCATTTAACCGGACCCTAGTGCATAAATACAATATAAAATTGGAAAAAATACCTGAATATCCCTGCCCCAATCAACAGGATCACTAATAACAAAGGCTGCTTTAACTCTATCTGAAAAGACATTGTATCTTGGGACCAAATCCATGGAGATGTTACAACGATTAAATGCCTGTTCAGTTGTCCAGTTCTTATACTGAGATACAGGATCGATGTTATCAAAGTAAGCGGCATACTCATCTAATGAGAGAACTTTTCTGCAGATAAAACCAATTTGGCTAATAAGAAAATTGCACAAAATAAGTGAATCCTAGAAACAGATCTGTATAATGAAATTTGTTGAAATGCTTATTCCAAGATTTAGACCAACTTACTTGAAACCATACTCAGACATCACCAGAGCAGGTTCCCCTTTCCCAGTGGCAACAATGAGTTCATTTTCAAACCTAAAAAAGTTGTATAAAACATTGACCAGAAAAATAAAATCCTTAAAATCTCAAAAAAATACTGCCATCAGAGCTAGAAACAAATTGTTAACTCACTTCTGCAAAATTCACTTTAAGAATTGGATTTGGCATCAATTAGAATCTTATTCTACAATCTAAGTTCTACAAGGATGTACCCAGTTTATGAATAGTAAATTTGCGACTGTAGCAAACACAGAAACTGGCATCCTTTCAAATGTGAATCATTTTTGTCCAGTTTTATGTGCCATTGAGCTCAGGACCCAAGCAGAATAGGGTATAAGATAAACCTTAGTAGTTATCAAGTGTTTTACTGCTGTTTCTTTATAAGAAAAGTCCTTAACTGGAATCTCATGATTCCTGGGCTGTTATTTAGGATTTTTACAATTGTACTAGAAGAATGTTACCCATTAAGAAAATCAACACAACAAAACCAAGTTTGCTGGAAATAAGATACTGAAAGATCAAAGATACATACTCAGAACAGACTTATGCAAAACCAACATAAACATACCTCTTTAACAAACCCTTGAAAGGTGAGTGACCTTGTACCACCTGCTCCAGAAAGATATAATACACCCCATGCCAAAGGCACCATGAGTCATGCAGCAATTACATAAATTATATACTAAAAGAGGCCATCTATATATATTTTTGACAAACAAAATTTCAAAACACTACCTGAGAAGGTAAAATTTTTACTCCTAAAAGATTACTCAACTCGGAGGCACGTCTAGATTCTGGGATGCCACCCCCTATGAAAACAAAATTATAATGTCATTTACTTCTGTGCATTACTGCATGTATTGTGCTTCAAAAAACATCAATAATAAATAAAAATATAGTATTGCTATGATTATATTATAGAATACAACACCCTGATTACACACAATCAAGTTTTGAACTCATCAATGGACCATGAAATTGACAGATCAATTACTTCCAAAACTTATTGGCGGAGCACTGAGTTAATACAATATCTATGTTTGCATAAATTAGATCCTTGTATAGTTAAAGTGCAGCGCTGTTTCCGCAAAAAAAATAAAATAAAATAACAAAAAAAACAAAAAACAAAAAACAATACAACTTTTTAAGAAGTAGATCCTCGTTAGGGAAACCATGCAAAATAGAACACGTGTTTGGATCTCCAAATGGAAAACAAGCAAATCTGTCTGAACCCTCGTTCCAAGTTTGCATGAAACTGGATAGAGGGATCCATTAAGATTGCTAGTAGATAGGTATTACCAGAGGCAGGTTTGCAATTGTTCCCCAAAGGTACAAACTACAATATCCCAACCAATCTATGTTTTAAACCGTAACGATACAAAATCTTTCATATTCATGCAGCTTGTCATTTGTACTCGGTGTTTTTTTCAAATAAATGATGAATCACAAATGATATGGGACAAACTACTCACCATTTGTCAAAAACAAAAAGGGGATCTTCAGAGTGCCTGCAAATAAAGTGAAAAACCGATTTGAATGAGTAGCAATAAGAGTAAAATATGTTGAATCATTACTAATGGACAGTCAAGAGTATGACAGTATGAGTTCCATGTAAAAGCCACCAAGGCTGCCACAAATCCATGAGTTCCATGAACCAAATGCCACCAATAAAACTGAATTCACAGAATATCATTTGAAGCCATTCAATAACTACTATAATTTAGTCTCTGGTAGACAAAATAATAATTTATCAAAATACATATTGTCAAATATTAAGCTTCACATCGGAATTTTAGAATGTAGGCTCCGTTTGTTTTGGCGTAAAATGTTTTTGTCAAAAATACTTTACTCATTTTCCGTTGTTTGGTTGAACAAAAAACAAGTAAAACATTTTTTAAGAAAAATATTTTTCATCATTTTTCAAAATATACTTACCTCTAAAAATTCTGTAACTCAATTTTTACGAAGTTGACTCTCACGCATTAATACATTTATAACATTTTCAAACAAATATCTTAACTCACTAAAAAGTTCACTTTATTGATTCAAAATTTCTGTTTTAGACAATAAAATATTTTTGTTTCAAGCATCAACCAAACGCTGAAAAATAAAAACAAAAACATTTTTTTTTTTTTTGTATAAAATCAATTTATAAGATAATATATTTGACGTCGAAACAAACGAAGCCGTAATGTAAATATTTAAATAAGCCAAAATTACAAGGAGATTGTACCTGAATCTCCATACAATCTTCTCAAAGATTGAGGAGAGCCTCCAATGGGAACACGACCACGAAGAATAACCCCATCGATATCAAAAGCGATGCCAAAAGAAGACCTGTGAACACCAGTCCACGAATAAACAAATATCTGTGTGTGAGAGTCAGTGTTTAGATGTGTACATACGTGGTGTTGTGTGTATATGAACAACCTATAAAAATAAAAAATAAAAAAAATGTATGGACGAACCGCTCGGGTCTTGAACGAAGCTGAGAGAAGAATCGCCAAGAAGATTGAGATTGAAACAACAACAATGGCGGTGAACCCCTAAACACCGTCCGAAACCTCATCTCTCTCTCTCTCTCTCTGCGGCCGTTTTTCAGTTATGTTTCAATTGCCCACTGCCGAATCGATTGTTATATTGAGCTCCGAAATATGTTCAATTTATTTATTTTTTAAGTTGTTTGGATGCGTTCTAATTACGGTTTGTATATTTTCGATAAATTACGTTTATTTAACGAGTTATACTAAAGCCACCGTTTGGGAAGTTAATTTTGAGGTTTTTTTTTTTTTTGGTTAAAATAGTCACACAAAATAAAATAAAGTTTTTAGTTTAATGAGACAAAATATCACATCTAACTTATAATTATTATATTATTTCTCTCACAAAAAAAAATTAAAAAAACTAAAAAAATCAAAAGTCCTTCTTAAATTAGGCTTTTTAGCCCCAGGCTAAAATAGTCAAAAAAATCAAAAAGCCAACCCATTTCTCAAACGAGCTCTAATAGTTCATGTAATTTAGGACTTGTATTATTTTAGTTCTTAATTTTTCAATTATGATATATTTACCTTTGAATTTTAAATCTTATTTCAAATAAAAATAATTAAAAGTGTTTTATTTATAAACGATCATTTCAAGAGTAAAGTTGTCATGTAACTTATTTTGTGTTGGTTAACTTGTATGTAGTTTGAAATGTAATAACTTTTTTTTAATGAATAATGTTACACATACATGTATATATATATATATATATGTGTGTGTGTGTGTATATCTGAATATATATGTATGTATATAACTTTTTTTAGTTATGAAATTCTGTTTGGTTTGGTTTGATTTGATTTTCACAATTTACTTTTAGAAAAAAAAAATTATAAGAAACTAAAAATTAGTGAATTTTTTAAAAAAACACATCATTTTTATATAATTTTATCTTTTGAAATGATAGAAATAATTTATTTAATATTTATTTTCGTTAAATTAGTTTTTATTTTTTCAAAAGTCAAGCATGACAACAACTTTATGTCATTATTAAATCAATTCATTAAATCAAAAAAATCTAAAATTAAAAACATTTCATATATTAAACATACTGATTACAAGCTTAATAACCATCTGGTACATGGTAATCATCCAATGTAACAACCCCGATCTGTGGTTAGCTAATGAACCTTACTTAAAAATACTTAATTAGTAATTAAGATAAAATTCTAAGTTAATTGCATGTGCTATGTGTTAATTGTGTCTATGTATGTCCATAGTAGGATATCTGTTTGACTTTCTGTTTCAGAATGTAAATTGAAAGTCTTAACGACATCCGATCATGAAATTGATTAGATTAACATATAATTTGGAATTTTAAAAAATTTATGATAAATTTAATTAAAATTCAATTTAAAATAAAATAATTAAAATAAATTTATTAGAATTAGCTAGACATAATCAAGCTTAATTGGTATTAACATAACCAAGCCAACCACCGTGCCTTACATTGAAGTTGCTGGAAATGCACGTGGTCAAGTTTTTGAAATGAGTCCTATGTTTGCGTCCGGATCCTCTAGAGTAACTCTCTAGAGTGATCTCCTAAAGTGGATGATCGGACGGTTCAGAATAGTCCTCACCAAAACGACGTCGACCTTTACATGGCTGTGTAAATCTCAACAAGAGCAAATTGAAAGCTCTAAAAAATAGAAGATGAATTTCATAGAGAGAGATTTTGAAATTAAATTAATTTCTGTCGGTTTGATGTCAAAAAGAGCAATTTGGAGGTTCATGAAGCTGTTTTAGAGTTTGTTGACTGTCTTTGTTCTTAAAGATGAAGAAAGCTCATGGTTTTGTATATAGAGAATAGGGAAAAATGATGTCAAATGAGAAATGAAAGATAAGAAATAGTGAAAAGTTAAAATAAATAGCTTAAAACTTGGAAAGGAAAAGATGTGTCCCTTATTTCTTGCTCATTCAAACACAATAATAATAAACCATACTTGCGTAAATTTCTCATCTAAATGAGAAATTATAATCTTTCCTCAATTCTTTTCCCAAGAAATTTACCAACCAAATTATAATAATCTGAGATCTTATCATTTTCACCTAATAATAAGATGTTCTAACATACCAGAATTAAATTTCTGTCATATATTGTTTTTTTAAATTGTATTTTATGCCCGTATCTTTACTATAAGATGTTTGGTCTGCATTGTGGGACTTCAACCTTGCACCTAACAAACTTCCAGATTTGTTTATCTTCCAGATTTCATTTTAGTTTATTTTTAGTTTATCTCATTCCAAAATGTCAAGTGTTTTTTAGTTTATTTGTAGATTTGATTTGATTAATTTTTATTTTATTTTTTTTTCTTTGCAATTACTGGAAGTTTCTTGATCTGTCTAAATTGAAAAGGATTAGCCTTAAATTAAAGCTTTGGTGATGTATAGTTGATGAGAAGTAACCTCACAGTTGAAAATCAATTATTAATTTAGGAAGTGTCTATTGTGCTTGTTTTTCCTTTTGTCAATTTGGTTTCTAATTAAATGTGAGGAAGAAGAAGAAACTTAAAATGTTTATTATTAGAGTATTTTCTATTTAAGGCCCAAGGAAATACAAATTAAACTAAGCATATGATCAGTCTTTTTAGTTTTGTTGCACTTATTTTCCTTTGAACTCTTAGTTAGCAAACATGGGATTTCATATTATAGAAAATGACTAGTTAGAAATATGGAAAGGTAGCTGATGCTTTACTAGTGAATTTATCTGCTTCATTTCTTATTTAGCCTGATATGGTCTAGTAATTATTGATCATAAGAGTGTAAAAATTATTAATTAGTAGAATTGTTCCTTGTTTGTTTATATATATTCAGGTGGTACGTTTGTTATTCGTTAATTATCTTATTCGGTTTGTATACAGTTTTTATGCTAATATTGAGCACTTCTTTATTTTTAAGTGACTTGGCACATTGATATGGAACCTAACAATCATGAGAATGACGGGGGTGAGTGTGATTGGAAGCCTAGAGTTCGCATGACATTTGATACAGAACAAGAAGCATATGATTTCTATAATACTTATGGAGGAAGGTTAGGCTTTAGTATTAGAAGGGGTTATGTAAACAAGAGCAAAGAGGGGCAAATTACTTCAAGGCAATTTGTTTGTAATAAGGAAGGATTTCGAGTTGTCAACAAGCGAGATCCATTAACAAAAAATCCTAGGCAGGAAGTGAGGACTGGTTGTCAAGCCCGACTTGTCATTAAGTGGGATAGGAATATTCAAAAAAATTTTGTTAGTGATTTTGTTGAACAACATAATCATATATTCGTACCAGCAGAATGTACTCATATGTTACCATCCCAAAGGAAGATATCTGCATCACAGGCAACCGAAATAGATTTAGCCGAAAAATCTGGAATCCGTCTTAATGCTGCATTTGAGCTCATGGGTAATGAAGTTGGTGGAAGGGAGTCGCTTGGGTTTACAAAACTTGACCAAAAAAATTATTTGAGAACGAAGAGGCAAAACAGTTTAGCATATGGGGAGGCAGGTAGCATTTTGCAATATTTTCGTGACAAATCATTGGAGAATCCATCTTTTTTTTACTCGGTCCAATTAGATAACGATGAGCAGATTACAAACATATTTTGGGCCGATGCTCAGATGATCATGGATTATGGGCAATTTGGTGATGTTGTCACTTTCGACACTACTTACAAGTTAAATAGTGCACATAGACCATTTGCGTCTTTTGTTGGATTAAACCATCATAGGGAAACTATGGTATTTGGTGCAGCTTTGATGTATGATGAGACCGCCGATTCTTTCGTATGGCTTTTTAGAAGATTCTTGGAGGCAATGTCAAGTAAGGCTCCAAAAACAATTTTTACGGATCAGGATGCTGCAATGGCTAAGGCCATACCTATTGTCATGCCTAACACAACCCACCGCCTTTGCACTTGGCATTTGATGCAAAATGCATTAAGGCATGCAAATTCTATCTTCAAGGATAAGGCGATGAAGGATAAGGGAATGAAGAGTGTTTTATACACGTTTATGTACGACATTGAGGATGAGGAAGAGTTTATGTTAAAATAGGAGGAAATGCTTGACAAGTATGAAGTAATAGATAATCATTGGTTGAAGTTAACATTTGGGGTCAAGGAAAAATGGGGTTGGCCATATGTTAGAAATGCATGGGGTGCGGGCATGAGTAGCACCCAACTTAGTGAATCCTTTAATACTTTCTTGAAGAATTTCATTCAGTCTGATCATAACTTAATGCAATTTTTCATGCATTTTGATCGAGTTCTGTCTGAGAAAAGGTACAAAGAGTTACAAGCTGAATATGCTCTATGCCAATTGTAGGAAGTTTGAAATGAAGGGCATTTTGTGTAGTCATTGTTTGAAGATCCTTAGAGAAAGACTCAATTTGAAAGAGATTCCTTCACAATATATTCTGAAGAGATGGACTAAAAAAGCAAGATCTGAAAATTTGAAAGATAGGTGTGGGCATGATATTCAGGTTGATGTAAGATTGTATCAAACTTCACGTTATAGGTCATTGATGGCAATATTCAGATCAGTAGCGTGTAGAGCTTCTGAAAGTGAGGAAACATATAATTTGACGGTCGAGAAAGCGGATGAATTAATTGCAGACATTGAAACCATGTTAAGCGCAAAATTCAATATGCCTTGTTCAGATACTATTCAACAAGAAAGCCCCCCCAACACATGCCCCGAAAGCTTTGAAGTGGATGGTGTAGCGGATAAAAATGTAGTCCAAGCAAAAGGACTCAAGAGAAAAGAGTGCACTAGCAAGGGACGAAGGCGGACAAAATGTGGTTTGGAGCTTGCGTTGGCAAAGAAAAATAAAACAAGTTCACATAATGCTTCTCAAACTTCCATGTCTGTTACTCCTCAAACTCCTCCCTTATTTTCGGCAAGTGCTCCTGAAGCACCTCCCTTAATTCCTCAGTCGGCTCCTTTATTTTCAAGTGTTCCTCAACTTCCTCCATTCTCGCCGAGTGTTCCTCAAGTTAGAGCTTCTCCGTCTCAATTTATGTATCCCGCCTATGATGTAAGTTAGTTTAATAAAAAATTTTAGTATGGATTTGTAGCTGACTATTATCATTTTAGATTGATATATGTTTGTTATTGTTGCAGCAAAGTTTTCTTCATCACTATATGCATTTTTCAATGCCATCGATGTATTCCGTCCATGGAACCTATCAAGCATTGCTTAACAATGCAAGTAGTTATCACTCGCAATCTTCAAATAGTCCCGCATGTAGTGAAGTAATTTTTTTTTCACCTTTCCTCTTTTATTTTGTCATTCATTCATGTAAAGTTCCATTTTATTTTATGGTTCCTTTGATGTAATGTTATTTTATTTTTTTTGTAGGTACTATATGGTCGTGGTCGTGGCCGTGGCCGTGGGTATGGGGATGTGGATCACACGCCAACATCTTAGCGTTATTTTGTTTTGGGAATTTTTGTGAATTTTTTGTTGGATATGTAATATTCAAACTTGTCATCAAACTGTTGCTAAAAATTTTCTGTTCAAATTACTCAGTAAATGTTGCTGAAACTTCCCTTGAAATGTTGAAATTTTGATTAATTTTTGAAATATTGAAATGTTGAAATTTTCTGTTCAAATGTTGAAATGTTCCTGCTGGTAGCATTCCTTGGGTGCAGTTTGTTATTTGGGCTTGGCTGGAATTTATTCTTCATGCAACTTGTTAACTCTAGGAAAGGTGGAATAATGAATTCACTCTGCTTTTGTGTTAGCTTTATCACTGTCATCATCATATATGTTAGGAATTACGATTGATACATTTAGTTCAAGATATGAGAACTTCAAGATTTTAATTTAGTTGGTTCAGTTTTTGAAGAATTTCAGGAACTCGTAGGTATGTTAGATGATCTGTTTCATGGACTCTTTAAAATTGTGAAGTACCTGTCTTGGCCACAAGATAATGTGTAAGTGTGGAATAGCACACTGAGTTGGGTCTGTTATCTTTGATATAATGTTGTTATGAGTTGGGTCAGGTTTGTTTTTGGCTTTCCTCCTTTTATCAACTATGATTCTTGATGAAATATTTGGCAGCATACATCAATTAAACATATTTGGCAGCATACATCAATTTCGCAGCATACATCAATGAACAGGTGCTGAATTGGCACTGATGATCTATTTGGCAGCATAGATCAATTTGGCAGCATACATCAATTAAAATACACCATATTTGGCAGCATACTTCAATTTGGCAGCATACATCAATGAACAGGTGTTGAATTGGCACTGATGATCTATTTGGCAGCATACATCAATTAAAATACACCATATTTGGCAGCATACTTCAATTTGGCAGCATACATCAATGAACAGGTGCTGAATTGGCACTGATGATTTATTTGGCAGCATACATCAATTAAAATACACCATATTTGGTAGCATACATCAATTTGGCAGCATACATCAATTAAAATACACCTTGAACCTGTTCATAATCAATACCCACTTCAACAATTCAACACATTTCATATCAAAGAAACCTGTTATACACCTTGAACCCGTTCAACCTGTTCATTGAACACCTTGTTATTCAACTTGTTGAACCTGTTCATTGAACACATTTCAATTCAACATGTTCAACTAACATAACTCAATAGATTTCACAAACCAAAAATTCAACACATTTCATCTCAAACAAACCTGTTATACACTTGTTTTTGCAAGCCATAAGATTTTTAAGCACCAAAAAAATATTACAAAACAAGTACAAAAGTAGATTACATTCATAGCATATTCGAAAACCTAAAATACAAAAGTACATTGTTCTTGAATACACAAAATACACAAAGTAGATTACATTGAGTCATTTACAAGATAAAGTACAAAAATACACAAAATACAATGACATAAGTCATTGCCTTGAACATCTTCTCCATCCTTTGAAGCGTTCTATCATGCTCATCAAGCGTTGTCCTTAGATCATTAATTTCTTCTGTTCTTGACCGAGGTCCAGCATTGGTTGAAGTTGATGCGGTAATGTCGTCGTCGTCGTCGTCGTCATCATCTGTGAACCACCTGAAGTAATTACAGTGGTCGTTCGTAGACTACAATGGACAAGAATTAGTTAATCAATAAAGGACAAACGAAATTTGTAAAAAGTAACAGATTCATTTATAAAACAGGTACTTACATATTTTCTTGGGCAAACAAAATAGACACGTCCTTTATTTCCATTTGCATTGGTTCGTACAATACGCACAGAAGCTATTCTTCCACAATTACAAAACCTTAGCTTTAATGTAAAGTTCGTATTATTAGTAGAAGATGAAGCCATTTGTTTATCTGCATAAAAAATACCAACAGATTCATCTTTAATTTTATTTTATGTTTGGGTGTGGAACAATACTTAGGATATTGGGTTTGTAGAGGGGGGGAAAGGAAAAGAAAATTGAAAAAAGAAAAAAGAAAAAAGAAAAAAGAATAAAAAGCTTCTTCAATTATTTATACATAAAGCAATAAGCATTTACAAGAAATTGTGAGAGCAACTATATTAGTACTTGTTGAAAATGTGCATTACTGTTTTGCAGCAAATAAGTTATAGTCTCCCTACTGTGATTCTTGAATGAGTATCTGAAGTTACCAGAGTAGATGACAGTGCAAGATGGTTCTTCAATGGGCTAAGCAAAAGTTGTGTATGAAACTAATCTTATTGAGAAGAACCTAATGAAGAATGGATAGTACAAGATACAAGGGAGGATTTTTTCTTATGGAAGAGGTAGCTGAGAGAGTTAAAAAATTGGAAGGAAACTGACAATTGAAAAACAGAATGCAAGCAGGGCTGGTTGGTATGACTTGGGTTTGGTTTTTAAAAAAAAAAAAACTCAATTATATTGCATATGTTTTCCTATTGTTTGCTCCAACATTTCTTTATCTAAAGTTATGAATCTTTGACAACATTTCTTTATCTAAAGTTATCTAAAGGGCAAGATGTGTATTTCATATATCATTCTGAGTATGGAAGAAACTATATCATTCTGTTACATACTGTTATCTACAGGAATAGTATGGAACAAAGTATACTGAGCATTTATGCATAGACATTCATCAATGCCAAAGAAAACAAACTTAATTACATATATCATTCTCTTACATTCCTCTGTCTTCCAAACTGAGAATGCCTATTTTATGATCAACCAGAGAAATACTATATTTAAATTACACACAGATTAAATTATACAAATAGAGGGTCATTTTAAATTACACACAGATGCCCATGTTTGGAATTTAAATACTACAGCTCTGTGTCATTAATTTAAATTACACACAGATTAAATGCCCATTTCAGGCCCATTACACACAGATGCATATATATATATATATATATAAATATATTCATAAATTTCTTTGATGATTCCAATCATCTACAATTCGGTTCCTCTAAGCATAGATCTGAAATAAATCATGTAAAAAGTCTCAAATCAAAACCGTAAGATCATATTTTTTGATTTTTTCCCTAATTTTTTGAATCAAAGCCCTAATATTTGAAGTTTAGAGGATGAATGAACCTGTGGTTTTTTCTTTCAATCTGTTGGAGTATGGTGACCTAGCGGTGTGGCAGCGGCAGCGGCAGCGGCGACGGTGGCGAGTCGGGCCCTTCTCTCTCTCTAATTTCAGATTTGCATTTCCACAGGAACCCTCGTTCGTTGTTTTGAAATCGGGAAAAAATGTTTTTTTTTTTTTTTTTGAAAATCCTCACCAAAACGACGTCGTTTTGGTGAGGACTATTCTGAACCGTCCGATCATCCACTATAGGAGATCACTCTAGAGAGTTACTCTAGAGGATCCGGACGCTCTATGTTTTGTTTACTTTTGTCTATTTGGATAACCTTCTATCTCTTTATTTATGGGGCTAGTCACTTTTTTGTTATATCTGTACCTGGAATGACGTCATATTTATGTAAATTAAGTTTTAAATTTTTTGTTTGCACAGTTTTATGGATATTATATATTTGTATAATTGCTTCTGCAAGTCTCTTATTCTGTTAATTTGTTCAAAGGGCTTCAATAATGTCAGGATTAC